TTTTTGGAGGGGGCGGTTTAATGGATTTCTTGATTTCATTTAGTTTGATGGATGTTTCATTCCACTCTATTTGACGTATACGTGTTGTGTTATCCTTTATGACTCTCTTTATGTCATTAAAGGAGAACATAGGTAAAGTGAGAGCTTCTGGAGACGAGTGGGCGAGGAGCTTGGCGGCTGCATCTGCTTGTTGATTGCCAGCTATGTTGCAGTGACCAGGGAACCAAACGTATGTAATGTTTTTTCTATATTGTTGAGCTAGGAAGGAAGTGAGTGATATCCGGATTTTCCTGACAATATCAGAGGGAGTGTATTGATTTTGAAGGCTGGTAAGCATAGAGAGGGAGTTACTAAATATTGTAATATTATCGTCATCTACTTTGGAAATTGTATACGCAATGGCTTTAAAAATTGCCAGAGCTTCTGCAGTATATATTGAGCATTTGTTTGAGAGTTTCTATTGAATTATGGTTTCTTCACATATGATGGCCATCCCGACACGCCCTTCGATCAAGTATTATATTATTAAGGCACTAATACATTTATTTACAAAGTGAAAAACAACTGGTAAACACAAAATAAATAGATACATTATAAGAAATTAAACAAAAATGTATCAATAGTTGTACACACATACTTGTGTATATGAACTATTAAGTGACACATCTTAAATGAAGAGGTATTTCCCCCCATCCCCCACCAAAAAAAGAGGCCCATGAATGTGGCCTAGTGTCGACTTTAAATGGTCTGCAAAACTTTGAAACCAATAATAAAAAAACTAAAATGACACCCGTGGTATAGGTATACCTACTTTTATATTAATTAATATTTGAAATGTTTCTAAATCGTTCAACTAGATAACAGTTAAGTGGTTAAAATTATGAAAAAATTAACACGTTTTAATAAAATACGACTTTTTATTACATACAATACGTATAAATGTAAAGTGGAATTAATATCTGATAATGATATTAAAGTAGAGGATCGTATAACGTAAAACATACGTAGTGTCTTATTAGTATTTCAATAGTTTGCATGATACGCTGATATGATTAAACACATCTCAAAACTCCGTCACTCTGTAGAGTGTGTAGTGCGCATACTGTAATGAAAAATAATAATCATCATTATTATCGAAATTAAAAATATGCACTGACGCACTGTTAGGTATAATATTATACAATGAGTGTAATCTATACACGTTGTTTTTTTATTATACTTTTTAATTATTTTCTATACGTTTTTCAAAATACATGCATATTATATTAATTGTATTATAGTAATAATACAAGTACTCCTTGAGTAATAGTAAACTTTTTTTTTTAAATTTGTATTTATACGTCATAATTATATATATATATATATATATAGGCATGTGTGTGTGTGTGTATGTATGTTATTATGTGTATTTCTAAGGAATAAAACATGAATTTAATTACGTTAACTTTAAATACAATTTTTCATTTTTCTGTTCCATGTTTTCAGGTTTATCGGTGGATTCTGTATCACATTGTATTGTATACAAATCGATTTAAAAATAAATGGCCACAACCATGGCATCCATCTAGTGCGATTTTTTCACGTTGCAAAGCTGAAGTAGCATGGAATAAAAAATCAAAACCAGAGTACAATCCATTTGGAAAATATTGGCTTAAATTATTTTACATGGTTAGAATGAAGTACATCTTTTATCATTTAGGCAACAGTTTTAAAATAATTTAATTAAGAAATAAAATTAAAGCACCTTCAACATATTCACAACATTTATGTAATATTCAAGGGAAAGTTTCGTATGATATGCGTTAGCGATCATTTACCAATAAGTGGCGATGGCCGAATTTTATTGCCTTTATGCAAAGACAGCAAAGTTCTTTGGTTACCATTACTTGTCAAAGGACTGTTACGTATTTACTCTCTGGCTGACGATTTTGATCAATTCAATACAATAACATGTCTAACTGGATGGTCTTGTATTCAAACAAATTGCCAGTACATTTTCGTTTTTAATTAGCCATTATTTTTACCATGTTTCAATAGTTTTTTATAACGCAGTCACGCAAATAATTTAATTTAATATCGAATTCTATATTTCTACACCCACGTAATTATTCTTTTCTTTAGACATATTTCAACAGAAAATTTATGGTCATCGATTTTATCTCACTCGTCAAATCCGGATATTGGACATTTAGATCCAAACAGCAAATCAAAAAATCAAAAAAACTCTAAACATAAGGATTGTTTTCACTTAACCTCTACAACGGGCACACAATGCCATCACGACGAATTTATGACAATTTATGGATCAAATCCTCCGAATTCAATAGTTGTTGGTTTTATATTGTCACCAACTATCTATAAAGTAAAATATAATAACTATATAGATATTAGAAACTTAAAAAGTTTAGATATTATTCCTTAATAAAGTCGCGATAACTAAACGAATAAATTGGACAGCCTTCAGCTAAAGCACAACACTAAAATTATAATCATTTCAGCAACCCGATTTCATGCATACCTACAACTTTACTGTCTGATTGGGAAATCTTTATTATAGGTACTATAGTGCCATAATTTGGGTAAATCCGGCACTGTGTAGTGTGTATAAGTATTTACTGACAATATGTATATTTTTCTTAATATTGACCTTTCTTATTAATACTATTGTATTTTAAATAAATAATTATTTATTATTAGTTATCACACTTGATAAAAAAAATTATTTGATCAAATTTTGCCGATCTTGGGATAATAGTATGTCGATTGTTCGTTTCATCGACATTTTTGAATTTTTATTTTTACCCCACTTGAACTTGTTTTTGAATCCCTTGTTTATATACTACTATACCAGCTATTAATTTTAAACTATTTATTTAGGAGAATGACTCTAATCCATTGAGCCGATACCCACAACCAATGTTTTTGAATAACGCCAAAATGATAAGGAATAAATCATTACCGACTTGGAAAAAATATCGATGGGCAAAATGGGCAACTGACAATAATTTAATCAGAAAACATGGTATATCAATAAAATTATTTGTATCAATTATTAGTAGCTTAAATTTTATAGTAAATAAAATTAGTATTATTGTATTAACAATATTGCTGCCTACTTAAGAAGATGTGATACTCGGATGTGTTGTCTCCGTCTTATACAAGTGCGTAACATAACAATTTTTACGCTCAGTAGAACACGTGTAGCTCTGTTAGTTTAAAATTTAGAGTGAATTGACCTCKTATAAAAATTAAAGGTAACATTATTATTGAGGGTTTCTCATAGGCTTTTTATTATTTTTTAAATTCAAAGCTAGTCATGAGTATTTTAAAATTTAAAATTGTTTGTATATCTTAAAATACTCATAACTCGTGTTGCGTGAATTAATGTTATAAAAGTTAAATCATAAATTAATAATAATTTACAGTTTACAATAAATTTTAGTTGTATAAAAACTTCAACAAATATCGCATGTTTTAAGTTGAATTTGAAGTTAATTTTTTCCTACTTAACCGTGGATTTAAATAAAAGTACATATTGTATTAGGTGTATAGTTTTACTGTGATTATACCAAACAATAGATATAAGATAAAGAAAAAATTTTAAGTTCAATCTTTTATTTATATAATGCGTATAAACAATCAACAAAATATTGAATATTATTATTTTTTTATACCAAGGTACAGTATAAATTAATTACCTGAGGTAATATGATTCCAAATTTATGTTTTTCTAAATATGTACATTAATAAATAAATAAATAGATAAAAAAGACTGTTTATCGAGCTATATTCAACTTCTAATATTTATAAATGAAGAAAATATAATTAACGAATTTAAGATATAAAAATAAATTGTATTTATCACTAATTATTAATCTTAAATTAATTAATGAATGTTGAATAATGTATATTCTATGTACTAACACGAGATAATGTTTAGTGATTAGAAAAATCATTTAGATATAACATATCAAAATAGGTAGGTACCTAATCAAAGTTATATTAAGTAGGCACACTCAAACATAATACAGTAAGTATATTTTAGATACAGTCATCTTAAAGAACAAGATATCAAAAGTAGTGGTTATACTTTTATAAATAATTTCAAATGGTACCTGTTTAAAAGAATAATTCGATATTAATTATTGTCTTTATACTATAGGTACTACAAATATAAATAATATAACACATTGATAGGTAGATATAACTTTAATAGTTAGAAAATAAAAATAATAAAACTAATTAATGATTTTGGATTTTGAAAGGAGTAATGAAGGCATTTTGCATAATGCGTGTTTGTGTGTGTGTGTGTGTGTACATACAAGATAATACAGTATAACACAAGACTTCTCATAAGTTTTTTTTCCATTGATAATAAAATAAAATTTAGTAATAAGTATATATGTATAGCTCATACTAAAACCAAAAAATCTAAGAAATATAAACACAGTTTTTATTTAGATATAGATATTCTAATTTCAAATTTGGAAAAATTAAAATATATTAAAATTAAGAATCTTAATTTATTTGTGGTCATAAAAAATATTATTCATGAGAACTTGAAACTTTTAAAGTATATTAGGTATATTACCTAATATCTACTTATTTTAAGTATACACACAATGGCATTTACTAATGCAAAGTGATCAGAAAAAAATTAATTTAACCTACTATATATTCCTACTGTATTAGGTACTAATAGCAAAATGAAATTACTTTAAAAGCAATAATAGTATAAAAATATACCTAGTAATATAGGTTAGCGCTCAAAATCATTTTTTATCGCTATAGATAAAATGGTTTCATATTATTAAATTCAAATTAAACACATCTATTACATTGACCCTTTCGACAACCCTACCGTGCAGAAAAACGGAACCTACTCACTCATGGCTCACCTTTTTTGTTTGTTTATTTATTTTGTAGTTGTCTGATGAAGATATTCTAAAATAATGTCATATTTTCAATTTCCATTCGCATAATAGATAGTTCAACTCGACAATATATTTAAATAGTTTATAATTAATAAGGTTGGTTTAACCCTGATTCTGTCCGACATGTCTGTTTACTGTTTACTATTTTTTAAGATTATAGATGATTTATTTATATTATAGTATAAGAATAATGTTAATGTCCTGATAATAACGTGATTGTAATTTCAATTAAAATATTTCAAAGATTTTAGGGTCGTTGACCGATTATTCTCGTTAATATTGAATAGAATTGATTATTGATGTTATATGTAATTAGTATTACAATAGGTATACATCTTATTGTTATATTATTTATTGCGCTATTAGTTTAATTATATAATGTATATAAATTTAAACGTATACGTGAACATTTTACTATATTCAGTGAGGATTTCTTGTGTAAGGATCAAATTTAAAGCCATAACGAAAAAAGTTAAAAGAATACAAGTCAGTAATTTTTAATTCTATTTTTAAGAATACTTAATTTTGTTCTTATACTGACTTTTACATTTCATAAAATACAAGGAAAATAAAATGTTCCTATCAGTAGGTACAGCATTAAACATAGCTAAGATTCAACTAATCACAGAATATGCACCCAAGTTTATGGTATCTTAAAAATCTAATTAAAAAAAAAATAAATAGTGACAAATGATGTACCACAAAAATTAGATTTCGATATTCAACAGTAGAACAAATTTTTATTTAATTTTATATTTCTTACTAAATATCAAATAATTTCCTTAAAATATATTTAAATAACAAAAATCGGTATTTAATTTATATCCTGCTTGAATACAATTTAAATTTAGAAAGCATTATTTCACTAAAAAATATTGCACCGAAATATTAAACATGCCCATTAAAGAGTCAACGGTATCAACAAAATAACAGTGACACTTGTCTAGTGTATGTCAGTAGCAATCGAAATATTATCAAATAATCGCTATTTTGATATTTACGCTAGCATCTACTATGCGTGACAAATGACAATAATAAGTATATTATTAGCTTTTAATTTTTAACCATTAATTTTATAATCACAAATTAAACGTGTAAGTTAATTCAATTTAATTATTTTTGATAGTTTTAAAAATAACAAAAATAATGTATTATTATTTGTGCTGTATGGTAGAATTGTCATTATAGTTGCTTATTTAGATATAATTTACTTATTATACCTATCAAAATATAATAATATTAAACAAATAAAATAAAATAGAAAACTTATAAAAAAGTTATCGGTCCTCAGATGACAGCTTTTCTCAAATTAGTGCCGAATTATTGCATTTTACAAGGAAATGACATTTTTTTTAAATTAAACATCCAACTAACGCCTTCCTAATTCCTCTGAAAAGTAAAAAAATAGATTAATGTAGGCATTTATACATACATTCATGTTGTAACATACCATATAAATATTGCATTTTTATTATAACAATATCAGAAATGTTATCGTTTTCTTGTTTAGAACTGAATGATTTTATGAAATTGGTAAATATATGTGCACCATGCGCCACAATACTGAATCAATCGTCTCCACTGATGAAAATCCTAAATAAATATAAGTCAATTGAAAATGACAGTCAATACGAGCTTGATTTTCAATATCTAAAACCTTTTACTGCGTATACAGTTTAAATGGTATTAAAAAGTACATCGCTATACATAACATTTCATCATTTATTATTTTAGATATGTGCAATTTTACATAAAAAAACACCAATCGTTTCGATTTATTAAGTCAGTCATCTTTCAAAACGAAGATGGTTCAGTGAGCGATATTTATCCGTCCTCGAACAATAATTGCTGTGCCTATTTACGTATCCTTTTTCTGTGCAATGGAAAGAGATTTTAACGTTACATACTAGAACGCCACACTACATAACTATGGTTGGATGTATTTATCAGTTAAATATTCCTTAAAAATATATATAAAAAATAGATTTTGAATCTCCTTATTGCCAGGCTATGCTGTTCACATTATCGGTTTGCAAAAACTATACTATTCATAACGGTAATATTGAACTAGACGCGCCTTCAAATCGCTATGTAATTGATTACCCATACATTAACGTGGAACAATTCCTCTGGTACGAGACGAAACTTCCGACACCGCTGTCTGCCATTCGCACAAGAGGAGTGTCAAACGTCGTGATAAATTTTAAACCTGGGTGATTATACATAATATACCGTCTGCAACGTACATGCAAAATGCGCAACATTTGCATATACGTGTTTGGCGTAATAATAATACTCGTATGATGGTATATTATTATTGCCAGTATCGTTATTATTATTATTATTATTATTATTATTATTATTGTTGTTTTTTCTATTATTGATATCACATTTATGCATTCGAATACAAACACAAACAGAGTGAACGTGTTGAAAATATGGGGTGAACTGCCGGCCAAGTATTCGTTGACAATCGAATCGACGGTAGACTTCTCGCTCTTACATACGGTGGAAACCGTTTATGAAAAACTCACTGATCAACCCAAATCGCTGACGTCCATACTCGGTGAGTAAGTTGTGTTGACTGTTTGAATATGATATTATAGAAATCTTAGTTTAACGCTCAAGGTATTCCGGTATTCGTACTAATAAAATATAAAATGACACAATTTCCGATGCGTGATTTCGTGTTGAGAAGATTACTAGATATTTTAACAACAACGAGTTACTTAATATTCTACAAGTAAATGTTTAACATCTGATGGTTGTTTTASGTTCATAGAGTAATTTTCTCACCGCGTATAGTAGTACCTACCTGAATAGAGCCAAATAAATGTGATGAATATTCATTATTCATAATCTACATGATATTACACATTTTTAGTGTCTCTAAAGCAAACGTTTTCACAACTATRTTCGACGCAGCCAAATACAGGTGACCGTGGACAAAGCTTACTAAGGTTTTACTCATCGTTTCTGCCACATTCCGTCAACAACGAAACCGAATTGAAGAAGATTGAAAGATTATCGATTATTTCAAAAGTATAATATATAAACATTATTAAATGAATTATTAATAGAAAATAATTAAAGCGTAATGTGATTAGAACTAATCGTCTAATATAAATTCTCAGCAAGTTCAAAAAGCCATGGTAAACATTTTAGAGATTAAATCCCTTAATGATATCTACGCTACGACAGAATTATATACGGAATTACAAGAATTATTACAAAACAAATCTTTGGGACTGAAACAGATTTCCGCATTATGCTTAAAACAAAAAACAATACATAAACAAAAAACTGTAAATCCAAGTCATAATAAAAAAATAAAAAATGATAAGTCCATAGTGATAAAAAAATCTCTAGTCAAATCTAAAATAGCCCATGGTAAAAATACTCCCTCGTAAGCATTAAAATCACTTCAATAGAATCGTAAAACGTGATTTTAAAAATGATTATTTTTATCAGGTCAGTTGCGTCCAAAATGCCTACCCCTAAACCATCGACATCAAAAATTATTTATTCAAATATGTTTGAAGTATTTTGGTAAGTCTTTTCTCTTAGATTTACATTTTATAATATTATGTATGTGTTATATGTAGCAATGTATTGCATTCTGGCGAGATTGACTTGGATGAATATCATTTTAAAAATGATTTATTTAATTATATGATTAGTGTTAATTTTGATGAGCATACTACAAAACCTATCGATACGTTGTTATTGTTTCGTCTAGACCTCAATACACATTCTAAATCAGTAAGTTGAATTAATTTACCAATAAATTAAAAATATTGTAAAATCATAAATAACTATCTGAGTTAGGTACATGACTTAAAAAATTCATCCGACTAATAAATATATAATAATAATTTTGTTTTTATATTAACTACTTAATTTAACCACAATTTTCAATAAAAGATTACAAAAAAATACCTTTATATTCGTTTTCATTAAAATATACTTAACTTTTATTATTTGAACTTGTCTGCTGTTATTAAGTACACTACTGATGTCCAGAATTTATTAGGTACATTAATGGTAAAAAAGGCAACGTGCTGAATCTAAGAGATTTAGGAAGTATATGGAACACCACTACTAAAATAATTAATTCTTTCGCCGGTTAAGCAGACATTAAGTAGAACATTCAAATGCAATTTAAGTACCTCCCCTTTCTTCACAAAAATTATGGCCGTGATGGCACAACTTTTTTGGAGGAGATAGTATTTAGTATTATTTTTTAACATATTCAATCATATGTCATAATTTATATATATATATTGAAATTTGAAATGGGAACTATACTGGATTACAGCACCTAACAGTTCCATCGATCTTATTATTATTTAATATTGATACAAATTCATATATATGTATATAAATATACATTGAATAGAAACAATTCTCAAAAGAGGCCCTGTGGTAGTGTGGTGTGCTCTATAAATGAAAAATACATTTGGATAAGTAGCTCCAGAGCCAACCCGTTACAAAAGTAGAAGTAAAAATAACATAATTGCAGTCCTATAGTTATATAATATGATATTTTGATATTTTGTTATTATTTATTTAATTTGTTCATTGAATAAATATATTTAAATTATGGAAAAATTAATAATGCCTACATATGACTGAGTGAGAACATTATTTATATGTTATGCTTTTAAACTCCGATTATAGTTGATTTTGATATAATAATATCATTCGAGGAGCTATATTATTTTTTTTAATTGCATTTCCATAATCCCTAAAGCTATCCCTTATGGGCCTTATGCCTATACTAAATCAGAAAAAATATGTAGATATTAAGTACCTAAGCTAAGTGCTAAGTAATCTAGTCTTTAAAATCGTATAACGAACCAATGAAACTTGAAAGGTATGCTTATTATGCCACAAAAAAGGCTTAAATCAATTGTTTTATTGTTCTAGGAATTGGTGCCAACAATTTTAAAATTTGCATACAAAAATAACAACAATTTCAATACTAATTTAATGTTGATCGACAATGATAATGAAATTGAAGTCATGCCAACGAACGTTGACATGAATATGTATATGGTTCATAGTACCACTAAAGGATACTCGCTAATAGGGTGGACTTCAGAAAAAAACTTAGATTTCAAAAATGTTAGTTATAAACTTGAGTTATTTGGACGACCATACGAGGTATTACACTCGTGCGGAACACATAACGATTATAGCTTACAGAAATACAGCACAACGGTATGTGATCATTTTTACACACCCGAATTTGTTATTAAGCATGTGAAAAATAGGTTTTATAAACCTAATGCTGAGAACTTATTGGCTCGGTAAGTAATAAAAGTAGCAAGTTTTGAAAACGTAAAATACATTTATTTTATTTTGTTTTTCTACCCAGGGCGATTCTAAACATTGAAAAAGCAGCTTTATACACAATATACTGTCATCTAGAACACTTTGAAGATGTAATGATGGAAATTCGAGTAGTAGACATAAATCTTACTGGTGGTAGTCCTACAGTATTTGCATCATATTGTACACGCGGAAAAACAGCATTGATTCCAGCTATATTTTTAGATCCGAATCCTAACAATAATTCACGAATTCCGAGTTCTAATAATTATTCACGTATGTACAGTAAATTGTATATTATATTTTTATTACAATAAAAATATATATTAAACAAATTAGAAACTTTATAATTTTGTAGCCTACTGTAGCCTGTAGTTATACCTACCTCCTTTTTTTATATTGGATAGCATGATTGTACTAATCATACTAGTATTTTACAAGCTGAATAGTATGGATTTACTTTGAATAAATTATTAATTTGTTCAACTGAAATATTCAAATATTAATATTAATAATTAGACTAATAAGTGTATTTCTAGTTATTTGTTTTGATTTATGAATTCTAATATTAAAATTGAAAAATTACTTTAATAATCATAACTTAGTACTAATAGATGGACACAGTGGAGATATAAGGTGCTCACTGTTCAACGTATATTTAGAATAAAAAAAATTTTTTATTTAAAAACCTAAATTGATTTATTTATTTATTTATACTTCATTACACAAGTGTTTGATTTCATAACTACCTACTAACCTAACCTATAGGTTTATTAAATAAGTATCTTAATGTACATACCTAGGTTATTTTTATCAATGAATTTTTAAGTTGTCTGTTGTTAACACAAGTACGTTGTGTCTTTTTTCAGAATCGAAAGAAATGGAAGCTGGAATCTCGACAAGCACAGTATTTGTAATCGAGGTTGTTTTAATCAAGAATATTGACATCGACTACTTTAATATACGAAATGATACAAATCAATATGATTGGACAATTTCGTGCACTTACGATAAGAAAGTACCTAACAAATTTAAAATTTAAATTACTGACATACATATACATTACATATAGTTTATGTACCTACTGAGTTCTGGCTTATTTAAGACTTTAAGTCCTGGGTTGGTTTTAAGCTTTGGTTAAATTATGATTTTTGATTAGCTCACAGGTGTTACACTTGAAACTAGTGTTATAGATTATGATTTCCATTTTACCAGTTCAATACCACATCAAATTCAACCTACTATTTTACAGAAATTGCCAGCCAAATCTAGTAAATGTATATTCTTTTTGTATATATATATCATATTAATCTATTTTATTAACTTGTTGGATTCAAATTTTACAGATCAAATAGATAGTTTAACGCCAAATTTGAATTACCACACAATGCTTAAATTCATGGCAGCCAATAAAGTATTAATATCTAATCAAACACAATAATAGTAGTTTACTACTGTATCATACAGACTAAAATATTAAACACTTGCTCATTTTTTGTAGGACATAATCAAAAACCAATTCGTGGATAATAATTCGAATGAAACATTAACAGAGAAAACAATTTCACTAATAAATAAAATAAAAAAAATTACTACTCTGCAAGATACTATCATAAATACTTTAAATTCAACCATGGATAGTAAAACTGAAAGCCGTCATGTATTAATAAAACAATTTTTTTTTTTKTGTTCCATATAGCCCTAACATCGTACATTTATTTACAGAATTTGATGGATGGATTAAACAAACAAGTCATGAGTTTCCTTCAACTTCAACGTAAATCGAATATGAACGTAAAACAATCACGGATGATGAAAAAGAAGTCACGTGCTGTATAGATATATAACTAATCAAACTAAAATAGTATTCCTAAATATAATTTAACAACGTATTTCAAATTTGTTATGTGTATGATGTAACAATTGTATAATTCAAATAATTAATAAGTAACTCAATCATACCAGCGATTACCACCATATTTATTTTGATATTTTTCTTATTTTTGTGTCTATAGAAAATACAAATAACATAAAATTGTTATCATTATTTTTTAATAACCTATTTTTAAAATATAATAAAACCAAATTCTTATGGGCCATTGAATTTGGTTGATTTTTTATGGCTATTACATTTTTTTTAGTTCAATTTTTAATATTTTTACATATTTTTTTGATCATAAAATTATAAACCCATTTTCAAATATTATAAACATTATAATATCTTGAGTACATATAAAATATGGATATCCTATTTTATTTTTAAAAAAAGCGAGGATGTTCAAAAGAGCACGTTCCACTGAAGTGGCCTCCCTAAACCACAAACACGAGAAGAACTTTACCCGTCCGGGCAACACTATTCTTTCGTATAAGTGTCGACCCGTTAAGAGGACACATTTATTATATGTTTAATAAACATTAAAAATTACATTATATAGATGTGATTGCATAACGATCAATTACATAACAGCGTGTACTACATTAAGAAAAACAGTGTTATTTATATTGGCCTTCGGCTCACATTTGATTTATAACTAATTTTACTAATTTTACGGCGCCCTTTGACCTTCTTCGTTCTTCTTCATCTTTCCTTGTAAAGATCACATTATTTGCATAGTCAATCTGACAATTTATTAGTACTCCTTTGAATTTGAACATAAATCCGATAGCTGAACTTGGGTTCCAGTTTTCACCTACTTTCACCTCCAGCGACCACCGTTCCCTCCACCAACGATCACAATTCAACAGCACGTCATCACTAACTGCTTGACAATTATAACACATAGATTTCCTACTATTTTTATTGTATGTATGAAAATTTTTAAATGCCTATAATCTGCTTACCTAGATAGGTACAAAACATTTTAAGACTCAAATCGGAGTGGTACATAGCTGGTACTACCTATAGTTGTCTTCCAAAATATAAAATTTGCCCTCCACTTAATCGTAAATAAATCGGTTATTAATATATGTATATAATATGGGTATTTTCTAATGAGATAATTATACTTTATATCTTTCGATAATTTTCAAGTGTTTAGAGTACCTATTTTAATGTTTTATGTCATTTAACATCTAAATCCAATTTTTTACGAGTTCATAATGCAAATAATAACATATAATTATTTACTACAAAAGTAATTTTTTTGAACATATACCTATCCACATATTGCGTTCGACGTTATTATTGAGATAACAACGGCTACAATAATATTAAATTACTGTAATAATTCCCAGTTTAATATATTCAGTCTAGAAACTATAAAATCGATATTTATGCGTGACGGTACCCGTCACACAGTCGTCAGTATATTATAGACACTCAATTTATCCTCACTTACCAACTTAGTTGAGTAAACACATTTGTATTTTTTGTTCGTTCAAAACTTGTTAACAATAAAATAAAAAGTGAATTTTATAGGTGTATTATTTTGAATTATTGATACAGATATCTAAGCATTTTTTAAAACCTAATATCGATGATGTTTTTTAAAGGCATCACATACTAGTCCATACTCCATACTTATAAAGATATAAATCAACAAAATCTACTCATACACAATTATTATCTATTATATTGCTGAATTATGTAGTACTGTATCAAAATCTACAGTCTTATCTATGACAATTGTAAAAATTATCACATCGTTGAACGTCGTATTTTAAAGTAAAAAAGAAAATATTTTTAGAAAAACTATAAGACGTAGATATTATATAATCACCAAAATATATCAACAAAACTAACTCTGAAAAATTAGTGGTTATACTAATTTTTCATATAAGCATTCTATTATCACAAATATTTCACTGACATCAAACATTTAAATTTTGCCTTGTATATAGATATTAGGCACCTATGTCGATATTTTATAAATATATAACATATTATTTTTTTTTATTGATCTTTAGAATACAGCTCGGGAGCATAGGCCATTAGCAATGGTTACAAATAATTCATATTGTTATACATATATTACACATTTAAAATTTTATTATATTAGGTTAATTAAATTAGTTGTTTGAAGAAATTTGATGAATATCTTGTTCTGATCCGGGTTGGGTCCAAGTATTGTGTCCAAGGTTTGGGTCATGTTGAGGTTGTAGCGAACTTGGTCATATAGTAGGCATTCCGTCATTATGTGTTCGACAGTGAGATTATAACCACATGCTTGACATATAGGGTGATCTTCTTTTGTCATATATGTTAAAAGAATGAGTTTCTGAAATATAATTGTNTGACATCAAACATTTAAATTTTGCCTTGTATATAGATATTAGGCACCTATGTCGATATTTTATAAATATATAACATATTATTTTTTTTTTTTTTTAAGAACTCTATGATACATATTATATTAATAGCAAAAATGTAAAATTCAAAAATATTATGAAGCCAAATACTGCAGGTTTTTCATACAGAAACGCGTACTTCTTGTTGAATGTATATATATGCGAGTCAATTGAATTCTTGAAAGACAAAAACAAAACAAAAGGAATTCTTACTTTTATTCTCGTATTATATTCGCTATGAAGTCGTCAAAAAAGCTTACAATAATGGTGCTGATATTAAGCAACTGAAAATCGGTCACGCACAGACACAATGTAACGCGAAAACACTGAAAACCAAATATCTTCGTACACAATGTGTGTGAGGAATCATTTCACGACAATAGTACGCCACTGTTCATTACCCGAGGTGAGTATAATTATATGTACATGTACCTATAACCTACACATTAATATTCTCCACACGTCTCATATACCATTCAAGATACGCCCAAACGTGGCCACAACCCGATTCAAAATTGTAAATAATATTTTTAATGTTCTGACATCGAAATCATTGCTTAAAAACATTTTTGAAGTTTTAAACAATAATAGTATATAGGCATATAGTTATCGACATATCGAAATAATAGCAAATAATAAAAGCTGAAGAAAAAATGACAGAAATATTGGCTAAATTTACCTCTCTCAAACAAATTCAGAAAATTGAAAAATAATATAGAAACTCCGACATCAAAAGAAGAGAAGAAATAATCATCAATCGAGGAAAAGTCAATCCCAAGTAATCTATTTCAACCTCATCCTCAAAGAACCAGCACCAGTATGTGATTTTTGCGACGAGTTAGGTACTCCCAGTAGAGCATATTATAATATAGTGATCAACAACCCCTGCAGATACGCAGAAACCCGCAAGCCGCTTCATCCTAAATAATCCTCTTTCTTTCTCTACAGTCTATGCCATGACCTCGACGAAGAGATCACAGGAGCAAATAGCAATCCTTACTTTATTTCATCAATCTATACAACATAAATTGTAAACTTTCCCGAACATAGTCACAATAGGCAGTAACATGTTTTGATTTATGTAATAATTCCATCAGTATTGGTAATGTTAAATAATTAAATGCAACAACAAATAATTCGTTCTAACTATAATTTGTATTGTATCATTAAATAACATATTATAATAAATTAAAACCATCAGTGACGTGACGAAGGACTATATTTGAGACACGTGGTTCAGTTTGAGGGGTGGTGGGTGTCCTCAAAGATCATCTGATGTGTTAAAAAAGCATTATTATTTAAATGAATAAATATTATATTTCATCTTAAAAGAATTTTTTAATGTTTTTTGTGATGGGTGGAGTGGGTGGTTGGTCTGGAAATATAACTGTGCATCATAACATAATGAAGTTCGCCACGCCACTGAAAACCATAGAATACTAGTGTTGTCATATAATTACATAACAAATAAAGATTTGTTGCTATATCAAGTATCACAGAAATAAATGCATGAAGGATGTTTTTATCTGTTAAAAATAATTGAACTAAAATTAAGAGTGGTTAATTTAGTTTAATAATTTTAACTATGATAACTAAGTCATTTTTTCCACATGATTGAATAATATTGATTAATAATTTTTAGAATAATTTTAATATGAAAAAAAACTTTTTTAATTTGTATACATTTTAATAAATTGTTATTTATCATAAAATGTGATCAAGTACTTATTAGAATAAAAAATTATCAAAAACCATGAAAATTTAAATCTATTTAGCCATGTTACGGTAAGTAATAAGCATACTATAATTATTCTATAAGTGTGTAATTCGTTCCTAAATTGATTTATGGTTCCTGTAAATTCTCCCATGTTCCTGGGTATTTCCGTTAAATAATATTGCCGGAAATTTCCCAATCCTACCTGTGTGACATGACGCAACTAACGAGATAACTGATAATAAGGGATTATTTTAAGTMAATAATATGCAAATAAAAGCACAAAAAAAGCAACACATTCCCCAAAAAACTTAATTTGATTTTTTCCGTTTTTACTAATGTTTTACGGAGTGAAAGACGAAAACGTAACGCGTAACTATAAAGCAGTGGTTTTCAAACTTTTATTATACTCTGCACACCGTACATTTCAAAAAAATTTTCTCGGCACACTAACCCGCATTTCTTCATCCACTGAATTTAATTTTTCTCGTTTTTTATTTTTTATATTCGTAAGTACTAAAAACCCTTGTTCACAAAGATATGAGGTTGAGAACGGCAAAAGAATAGTCAATGCTTTTATAGATATTATACGTATTATTGAAAGCATTTATTTTCTTATATCGCAATACAATGCAATAGGTAACCTAACCTAACCTAACCGTGGCACACCTAATGGATACTCACGGTACCCAGTTTGAAAACCACTGCTATAAAGTAATATACCTAATACCTAGGTACTGTTGATTACCTTTAACCGACAATCGAATTCTTAAAATGGTTATAAATTTCTTAGTTTATTATATATATTTTTTTAAATATAACAGCTGCCCAATGTGTA